ACCAGGTGTGCTTAGGAAGTGAGTTTTAGACTAGAACTCCAGGATTGACTCCCAGTTCTCTATCAAGGTGATCCAGCAGGAAAGGTAGAATTAAGGTGGAAACAGTGTGCCCATAGTGCCCAGACTTGTATTTGACACTCTTAAGGCATACTTTATCTAATTCCTGAAAAGGACAGCAATGCTGGCTCTTCACTGACCCCCTTTTCCCACAGAATGTGGATAGTTTTTATTGAACTCACCATTCTATCATATTTAAGAAGACAAGATTTGGAAATCCTAGAATGACTGAAAACTTTCTTTATACAGATAATTCTTATCAGTGTAACATTGCCCGTTACCTATTTTAAGCCATAATATCTTTAGCATATGATATCCTAAGAGTAGCATAAAACAGCTTCTAGAGAAGGAGAAAAAAAAACCATAATTTAATGCAAATAAAAATCCCTAGTACACATTTTGACATAACTTCACATTTTTAAATTCCAATCAAGGTTGGACAATCATTAATAAAGTTTTAAAATATCTTTAGATTTTTATTGAATCTCTTTTAATCCAACAGTTTTCATTAATTTTACACTTCAGAGTATGCGAAATATTTCAATATAACCTCGTCTAGAAAGGTAAACTCAGAACAGTTTACAGCATGGTTTTGATGAACTACAAGTTCAGCATTTTGGTGGGGAAGGGGTGAAGTAGACAGATAATTTGAAAAGTAGGTACTTTGAACTCATTTCTTGTTTCTCATATCATATGCTAAGTAGATACTTTGAGCTTATTGAAGGTACATAAATGAGAAGAGAATTTTTATTTGTCCTTCTTGATAATGAGCAAGATTCAAATATTTTTTCTAATCTCCACTGATAGCCTGGGTGCAAATTATACATAATTCTTTCTCTTAAAGTTCCTATGAAACCCATTTTACAGATGAAGAAACTGAAGCTGGGAATTTAAGTAACTTACCCAAGTTCATGCCAAGTATTATATACCATAATTAGTATGTGACTCAATGTTCAATCCTCACTGGAAAAAAAGATTGGATTTTTAAGTTAACAATGATCATATATACATATATATACACACACACACATATGCACATATGTTATAATTTCATTACATCATCAAGATACCCAAGGCCTCACTGAGTCACTACCTAGCTTAAGAGAATTTCTTAAAGTTCAAATACAGTAACAAATTTTCTTTTACTTCTATACCCAAGAAATAGCTCTATCTTTTTTGAAGAAGTACAATTCATACTCTATGACAAATCTCAAACATCTCAGCCCCTAAAGCCTCGAAGGACTAATTACATTAGTTTATTTTTAGAGAACTTTGGTCAAAGTTATTCCCTTTTGAGATTTCCATTCAAAGCAAGTTAAAGTGAATTTTAATTGACTGGAGGTACAAGGCAATAATCATGCAAATGTATGATAACTTCTCTTTCAACACTGAGAAAGGATTTTGCTTGGTATTACTTGAACCATAAAGAACTGCAGATTCAAGAAGCCTTCTGTGTGCTCCATTGACCACAAACAGGATCCTGATAGAACCTTTGAGTGCACATTCTTCAAACTGGCCAGGGGAAGAAGCCTAAGAAATGCAGTATTGGAACAGGTAAAGGAGATAACTTATATCACCTCCTATGTCAGGCAACTTCATATACCCAAAATTTATTTCTATTCTTGACTTAAAACTGGACTCATTGGAATCAATGGGTTTTGTTTATAAGTAATTTAAGGCACAAAGATTTACAGTACCAAAACTATGATACATTTTATTCTACACAGTTATACAATTTCTATTTACTGATGGAAGATAGGAATGAAAGCTCTTCAGTTATATCCTCAGCTATTGAGTTCTGCATAGATAAACCAACACTTGAGCCCATAAAGTACAGCATTGCATTATGAAAAACTCTGATTTTCATATTTTGAGTAGCCAGAAAGTGACCCTAACAACTTTCTTTTTTACTAGGGACTGAAGTACAAAGCCTCCAGCTTTTGGAAAGTTTATCTTTAAAGTACTCACTTAAGTTTCATGGAAAGATAAGGTTTTACATGCAGAGGAACAATTGGTAACCTATTACATTTGAGAGAGCACAAGACATTGTACCCTGACCAAAATAGACAATTTCAGAGACTTTTTTCTTATTCTTCAATTACAATGTTAGCCATTTTATCTAAAGCCTTCATGACAAAGTATTTCTACATAAAAAGCAAACAGCTCAAAATATTCACACATTCTAAAATTACATTAATAAGATTATTTGACAATTACTAAAAAGCAAGAATATTATTATACTACTACTGGAGATGAGAAAGATCCAAAGATAATTGTTACATTTTGTTTATCTCAAAAGCCAATGTAGCCCATGCTCTAATGAGCCTTTAAACTCATCAGGTTGAAATAGTTTTCTAACTGAGCAAATAGCATGCTCTGTTCTTGCTATCTTCAAAGTAGGATGTACTATGTATAACTATGAGTATACTTTGAACAGTAGTTTAATAATCTTCAAAACCTTATTTTCCTATTTAAAAACTCAAAATATTTGGTATTTGGCTACTCTAAACCTAAAAGACTTATGTGTCCACTTGGTCTGGAAAAAAACTTATTCTATAAACACCCAGTTAAATGTTACTAACCTTTTGAAATGTCCCATGCTGACTCCAAAAAAAATTTTTACCTTCCTTTCCTCTTCCCCCATGATACCATGATTTTACTTTTGTCATGGGTTTAATTGACATATATATATAAATGAGAATATAATTTTTTATTTGTCCTACTTAATGATAAGTATGATTCAAATATTTTTTCTAATCTCCATTGATCATCTGGGTGTACAATTTGTACCCAGGTGATCAATGGAGATTAGAAAAAACATTTTGAATTTTTCAATAGGAAAATAAGATTACAAGGATTATCAAACTACTGCTCAAAATATATTTATAGTCATTACATAAGTATATCCTGCTTTGAAGATGGCAAGAACAGAGCATGCTATTTGCTAAGTTAAAAAACTATTGCAACCTGATGAGTTTAAAGGCTCGTGGAATTTGAGTTAGAATGGAATTTATCATTTGCATGTATCTAACCCTTATACACTATGAGCTCCTCAGTAACTTATTCAAGCTCATTCTGCTAGGTGCCTCCCATACCTGGTAGGTTATCCAGCACATAACAAGTGTGCGATCTCACCCTTGTTAGAGTACTTTGCTAGCTCACACCTGAAAAAAAAAAAAAAATAGCCTCTGCATGCCTGTGGACATATTAGAGCCTGCGACAGCCATCCACACATGTTGTGAGAATTCAGAAAGCTGGATTTATTGCTGCTCTGGGTCAGATATTTAGTTCTATCACCACATTAAAAAGTTGGTGATGGTTTTAGTTTAGAAACCTCAGCCTCCCACATGCAGGCTCTTCTAGATCTGACCTTCAACCTATCCCTCCCTTACACCTCAGTCCTTTACCCTAATAATACTCAAACCTGCTCAACATTTTTCCTTCTCGCAAAAACCAGTATTTCTCAACCTTTTGGTTAAATAAGAATAACCCAGATAAACTGATAAAAATTTATATTCCTGAGCCCTAAACCCTGAGAATAATTGCAATTTTATAGGTGGAGCCTAGAAATCAGCAATTTTAAGAAACATACCAGGTGATTCCAATGCAGGTTTTCCATACTCTTAGGAAAAAAATTCTATAAACCTAAATTCACCCTTGATTAATAAGGTGTAAAATCCATTTAAACTTCAAGATTCCCAGAGTACATCTACAGAGGGGAAAGAGAAACAAAGCAAGCAATAGAGTTGCCAGTAAAATGGGAGGGATTTGGCAAAAGAAGGCATGAAAGAACTGCAAACTGAGAGGTAAGAAGGTTAGGCAGACTAAATACACACATTACCAAACATCAGTCAGCCAACGAGAAATTTACATAAGCAATTGGTCCAGGTGGATGAAGGACTTGAGAAAGGTGTATGGTATGCCCTGGCAGGGAAGTTCCATCTTACAAAAGGGAGATAGGATGATTTTGATGATTCCATCAAATGTAGGAAAACAAGCAAAATGTAGTAATGCCATAAGGGAATACTTACTGAGGACTGATAAAATAAGTATGTATTTATATGTGCTTCTGGATCTATAACTGGTTAGTGGTTAGAAATAAAGTGTATGGGACTGGGTGCGGTGGCTCATGCCTGTAATCCCAGCACTTTGGGAGGCTGAGGCAGGCAGATCACAAAGTCAGGAGATCGAGACCATCCTGGCCAACATGGTGAAGCCCCATCTCTACTAAAAATACAAAAAGTAGCTGGGTGTGGTGGCACATGCCTGTAATCCCAGCTACTTGGGAGGCTGAGACAGGAGAATCGCTTGAACCCGGGAGATGGAGGTTGCAGTGAGCCGAGATCGTGCCACTGCACTCCAGGCTGGTGATAGAGCGAGACCCCATGAGAAAGAAAGAAAGAAAGGAAGGAAGAAAGGAAGAAAGGAAGAAAGGAAGAAAGGAAGAAAGGAAGAAAGGAAGAAAGAAAGAAAGAAAGAAAGAAAGAAAGAAAGAAAGAAAGAAAGAAAGAAAGAAAGAAAGAAGGAAGGAAGGAAGGAAGGAAGGAAGGAGAGAGAGAGAAAGAAAGAAAGAAAGAAAGAGAGAGAGAGAGGGAGAGGAAGGAAAGAAAGTATAATTAACACTTCATCTTTGTTGCCAGGTAAAATGCTTCCATTTCTATGTGATATCAATGCAGCACATCCTAAAATAGAACTTGAAGGACAAGAGAAAACAAGTTTCAACAACTTATTCAATATGGTGGGGTGTCTCCATCTTCTGGGAATGGAGAGTGGTGATTAGGACTATAACATCTACTGTCCATTGCTCTGGAGGAGGCGCTGAAAGACTTTTGGATAAAACTCAATCTATCCCATATCCTGGGGGATGTTTTCATTTTATCAGGATCAAATCTTTAAACTCTAACAATTCATTTCTATATGTAGAATTCCTATCATTAGTTGACAGATGAAGTATGACGACAAGTGGAAATTGATATCAAATCAAATTTATAATCACAAACTCTCTCATATAAGATATTGTGGTTTAGCAGTTAATAATTCAGGCTCTGAAATCAGACTGCTAAGATTTTATTCACTGACTTCACTACTCATTAATGTGGGTTGTTAATCCCTCTAACCCTAAACCTTGCCTGTACGATGGAGAGAATAATAATGTCTACCTTGTATAGTTGCTGACACATTTCACAATGAAATGAATAGAAAGTCTCTGGCATATAGTAACTACTCAGTAAGCTCTAGCTGTTATCATTAGGAGCATCATTATATTACAGCATTCTAAATCTATATCCTTTTTTTTCCCTTGATAGGTTCAAGTTTCATGGTCTTATCTACTAGTGCCATAGACACACACCAGAGTCAGATAAGCTTAGATGTGTATCTTAGCTTTATGTTTGAGGGTGGGTTTTCTTTTTCCCACACTGTTCTAGTTTGCTCAATTGTAAAGTGGATAATAATAATAGTTATCTAATTGTGTACATTAGATCATTATGTCCATCAAAAATGTGTGCATGTACACCCCTCAAAGTTCTAATGCCCTTCACTGATTCTCATCTTGTTAAGCAGTATTTTTAGTGCAAAATACATAGGAACAAAAACCATTTGCAACTATAATAAAACAATTTCTAACTGTGTGACATTAAGCAAATGATTTAAGGCATTAAGATTATTTTGAGGTTGAAAATGACAAAATTTTAAACATGCATATATAGAGATGATATTGTTATGGTCTGGCGTTATGAGAGACAGCCAGCCCACTGATGAGGCTCTCCAGAACTGATAAGCAGTTATTCAGGTTGGCAAAGGGAGGCTGGAGAACAGACTTTAGTGCATACATTTTGTAACAGTAGCCACAAACTGATTTTGTGTGTTTGACCGACTTCATAAGTTACTTTTAATAATATTTACCTGATGCTTTGAAAACAGCCACAGTAGCACATTGTCCTAGTCTGAAATGATTATGTTATCCTGAAATAGTGCGCTGGCCTCCTTTGCTGGGTTTTATTATGGTATTTCTTTGATTTTGGAGACGCAAGCCCTAGACTAGCAGAATGAAGCATTAGTATTACCTAGCTACTTAAATGCCAGACTTATTCTTTCCAAAATGGATGTAAACAGAACATGCCTCTCTTCTTCATCCTTCAAACCTGGATTCCTTGCCTCGGTTCAATACTATCTGTTAAAGTAGCTTCAGACAGAACGGAGAATGTCTGTGCTCCTCTTCTTTAACACTGTTGGTCTGAAGTCATAGATATTCCTCAGTGAAACTGTCTAAACTCTCAACACTTCATTCCTTGTCAATTAAACAATGTCACTTGATGCTCATTTTCATTCTTTTTGTCTTAGAATATTTTCCATTTTCCCTAATTAGTCCGAATCTATGTGATTCTGAGTATTTGGTGCTAGATGTTTAAAAAAAAAAAACAAAAAACCCAAGATCTCTAATTGTCTAATGAAACCCAGTCCTTCAAAACATGTAGATACGTTTTACAGGATTCCAAAAGCTCCAAGGACAAGATGAACATATCTCCAAATTAAGGCAAAAGTTGAGAAGGCTCATTGATATATACCATCTCCTTTGAGACCATTCTCCCTTATTCCACATTTTATACTGTTAGAATATTGAGTGAGCTGAAGCTGAGAGAAGCTGGGAAGCATTCCACCAGAAAGAAGGATTTCTAGCATTCTACAGGAGTCTGGATAGGGGGAAAAAAAAGAAAAATAACACTTTATGACAGGACTAGGGCTTTGCACAGTCCAGTCCTATTTGGCTTCGTGGCTGACTAATGAAAATTAAATCTCTGAGGATACTGAGAGCCCAGATTATTAAATTCTGTTATTTTATGTCAAGCCGGGACACAGAAGGACCATAAACACTAAAATAAGAGTTCTTAATACCAGTAAAATTTGTTCATGGTGCATTTATTCTGCAAAGTCTTCTCTGACCCCTCTACTCCTCTGGATTGCTCTAAGACCACACTACTCACACGGTTCTCTGCCTTACCACGACAGTATCAGTAGCATGCGTCGGAGCCACAGAAGCTCGGTATGAAATCCTGCCTCTACCACCTGTTTCCTACCTGATCATAGACGAGTCATTCAAACTCCCTTTTCTTACCTTTGAAAACAGTAAAACCTAGTTTTAAGAGTAGCTGGGAGAAGAGATACTGTGCACAGTGTAAATTTTCGGATACATAATTGATGTTCAATATTGCCATGCTGCTTGCTATTGTAATTTGTTTCTCTCTTTGTGCATCACTTGCAGACCAAAATATAGATAACCATATTCTCAGAATGTAAGGAAGTGTTGGGTATTCAATATTATTTTACCGATTGGTTAAATGACGATTGGTAGCTATAGACCAGTTACAGAGTTCTGTTTCATTTCCCCTGCAGCTGACTGAAGATGAACCCTGAAAACTGGACTCAGGTAAGAAGCTTTGTTCTTCTGGGTTTTCCCAGTGGCCACCTCCTACAGTTCCTGATGTTCCTGGGGTTAATGACCACCTACATTGTAACAGTCATAGGCAACCTGCTAATTATTGTGCTCAGCTGGATAGACCGACGCCTGCACACACAGATGTATTTCTTCCTGCGGAATTTATCCTTCCTGGAGCTGTTGCTGGTAACGGTTGTGGTTCCCAAGATGCTTGTCGTCATCCTCACGAGGGATCACACCATCTCATTTGTCAGCTGCATCATCCAGTCCTACCTCTACTTCTTTCTAGGCACCACTGACTTCTTCCTCTTGGCCGTCATGTCTCTGGATCGTTACCTAGCAATCTGCCGACCACTCCACTATGAGACCCTGATGAGTGGCCATGTCTGTTCCCAGCTAGTGCTGGCCTCCTGGCTAGCTGGATTCCTCTGGGTCCTTTGCCCCACTGTCCTCATGGCCAGCCTGCCTTTCTGTGGCCCCAATGGAATTGACCACTTCTTTTGTGACAGTTGGCCCTTGCTCAGGCTCTCTTGTGGGGACATCCATCTGCTGGAAATGGTGACCTTCATGCTCTCTACATCAGTGTTACTGGGCTCACTGACTCTGACCTCAGTTTCCTATGCCTGCATTCTTGCCACTGTTCTCGGGGCTCCCACAGCTGTTGAGCGAAGGAAAGCGTTCTCCACTTGCGCCTCGCATCTCACAGTGGTGGTCATCATCTATGGCAGTTCCATCTTTCTCTATGTTCGTATGTCAGAGGCTCAGTCCAAACTGCTCAGCAAAGGTGCCTCCGTCCTGAGCTGCATCATCACACCCCTCTTGAACCCATTCATCTTCACTCTCCGCAATGACAAGGCGCAGCAAGCACTGAGAGACGCCCTGGGGTGGCTCAGGCTCACTGCTGTGATGAAACTGAGGGTCACAAGTCAAAGGAAATGATCTTATTAAATGGGAGATTAAATGTTTATTGAAAATTTTTTAAATGTGCAGAAGTTTAAGGGATGTAGGCAACACTGTGCACTTTTCTCAGCTAATGAAAGAACAGTCTTCTTAAATATACAACATGATATATGGTGGTAAACCTTCATTTTCCCTCCCTACAACCTTCCTTGTGCCTCCTCCTCCCCACAGAGAAGGCTGATCCAATTGGTTAAATTTCTTTCAAGTGGGATCCCTGGATTGGAGAGCACATGTGAGCATGTGACCTGCATACAGGAAGGCTCCTCTTTCTCTTCATGTGTGTGCTTAAACACTTTTCTTACTGCATCAGTCTCCTGTGTCATGTAGTCAATCAGAAGATGCTGAAATACGGAGATTCAAATTTGGAGCTCAGTGGGGAGTAAGAGGGCCTCTGAGGTCTTCCAAACTAGACTGGGTATTGCAAATAAAATTAACCAGAACCTCTGCATTATTAGAAAATCCAATTCTGGCTGCAGTAATAAATGGTTCTCTGATTCACGTTTGTTATTGCTCCCTATGTAACTAGCAGCTCCTATAGGAATCTCATAAAGGAAGAATGTTAAGACCAGTGAAACATTTGGATAGCCCTAATTCCTAAGTCAAACTCTACTAACAAACTCAAATATGGCAACAATCATTTAATCATTCCTTTAAGAAATATTATTAAATCTCTAATATGTTTCAGACACTGTGCCAGGCAAGGCTCCAACTAGGGTGAACCAAGGGAGATGTCTACAGAATACATTTTAAAGAGACATGCACTTTCAGGGGAGTGTAAGTGCAGGGTCAGGCTACTTACAAACTCAATAGTAAATCCTTACTCAGTGTTGACATGAGGCGCCTATGTTGCTGCACCCTCATCTAGGCTGTGGTGCTAGGCTTGGAGAATACAGTATTAAGTAAGCTAAACATGGTTCTTTCTTTTATAGAATTTAGAGCATAGTGGGTGATGACTGACGAAATATATTAATAAATAAATTCATAAATCAGTATGTAATTGAAATCTGTGATAAATATTTTTGAGTTTTGTTAAACTAATAAGGACAAATTAATTTGGATTAAAGATCAGCGAACACGTCTTTGAGGAAGAGACCTTTAGACCCAGGATTGAGATTGAGCAAGAGTTTGCCAGGCAAGGATGAAGAGAAGAGCGTCTCAGAGGTAGCAAAGAGTATTTGCAAACTCAAGAAGTAAGGAGAGACTGACAGAAGTAAATGTAAATAGAGAGTTAGAAAAGAGTGGAGTTAGAGAAGTGAGATTGGAGAGGTGGGTGGAAGCCAGGTCAGACAACATCTTATCTATAACAGTCATGTGGATTTTTTTTATGGCAATGGAAAGCCTCTGAGTGGTTGTAAGGGAGTGAATGACCAAGTCATATTTTTAAAAATGAATCCAACACCAAGTCTATCTATGATGTCAGTATAACTCACGATGATATAAACTCTATCCATGATGACATAAACCCACAGATCCTTAGAATCTATAAGAAGTTTTAGGTATTGTTGAGCACTTGGGCTCTGACGTTGTATAGACTTGGGTTGGATTCCAGAAAACAAGCTCTGGAGCCTTAAGTAAGTTATTTAACGTCTCTAACTTGTAATTGACTCATGTTTAAAGTAAAGATGATACCTACCTCCTAAGAATTTTGAGAAAATTAAAATAAATAATAAAGGTAAATCACCTGGTTTTTGGATGTGTCTGGAACATCGTAAGTTCTAACTAAATGTTATTTATATGATGATGATGATGATGACACTGATAGCAACAACAGTGACCCTAGGAAACTATGAAGAAGAAAGTGGTTTGCCCAAGGTAATTTCCTTTTTCTTCATTGGCGAACATTCAATCAATCCATCAGTCTCCATTGGGACTCAGGGTCCAATATTTCAAGAGGACCCCTGCCTCAAAGAATTTTAAAAATATTATAAGGTCTTCCAATGTATTTTGTGTCCAAAAAGTGACATCAGGAAAAAGACACCAGATTTACTAGTTGAAACTTTCTCAGCAATGCCAACATCATTCTTACCTGGGAAGGTGGTCTCTGAGCCAAACAGTACTTCTGCATAGAACTTGGTACTTTTTATCTAGGAGGCACTTAGAAGCAGTTCTAAGACACTCATCCCATCTTCTATTGTGGCTAAGAGTTCAGGTCACCAGAACCTAATTGAGGTTAAGAACAATGGAGAAGCAATAGGCATAGAGTTTTGTCTACTTTGAGGGTCCTATCCAGCAGGCTAATACCCTGAAGCATCTTTCAGATTCTCAGGTCACTGCCTCTGCTAAGGTAAGGGTCTGCGCTCCAGGGGACCAATAAGGTCCTTTTTCCTCCTCCACAGCTTCTTCATGGCCATGATCACTTCCTTGTTTCTCAGGGTATAGATGGCAGGATTCAGCATGGGGGTGACAATTGTGTATAGCACAGACACTGCCTTGTCCATGGGGAATGTCCGAAAAGGCCTTGCATAGATGTAGATGCAGGGCACAAAGATTAAGGTCACCACAGCAATGTGAGAGGCACAGGTGGGCAGGGCCTTGCTGCGGCCCTCCCGTGAGTGGCTTCGGAGCATGACTAACAGTGCTGTGTAGGATCCCAGAAGCACCAGAAAACACATCAGGGTCACCAGGCCATTGTTAGACACCATTAAAAGCTCTAAGACAAAGGTATCTGTGCAAGCCAATTTGATCAGCTGAGGCACATCACAATAAAAGTTGTCCAGCTCGTCAGGCCCACAGAATGGCAGCTGGATAGTCAATGCAACCTGTACTATGGAGTGGATGAAGCCCCCTACCCAGGAGGCTGCCATGAGGAGCGCACAGACAGTCTGTTTCATAATGAGCGTGTAGTGCAGGGGCTGGGAAATGGCAACGTAGCGGTCATACGCCATGACAGTCAGCAGGAAGATCTTGATGCCTCCAATGAAGTGGAAGAAGAAGAGCTGAGTCAGGCATCCACCAAAGGAAATCGTAGGGTTGCCTGAGAGCAAGTCGAGCAGCATCCTAGGTGCCGTGATGGAAGAGTAGCAAAAGTCCAGGAAAGAAAGATTGCCCAAGAGAAAATACATGGTCGTGTGCAGGTGTGGGTCAGAGGTCACTATGACCACAATAAGAAGGTTTCCCACTACAGTCATAAAATACATAGCAGAGAAAACAGTGAAGAAAAAAACTCGAAGCTCCCAAACCTGAGAGAGCCCCAGCAGAACAAATCCTGTCACCTGGGAGTGATTTGCTGGATTCATCTGGTTGGTATGATCTTGTCAGTGAACCTGCTAAGAAAAAAGGACATATTATTCAAGGGATCTGCAAATTTCTCTAAATTAATTCCCTCTGCTTCCTCTGTGAAATTCTTCACTCTTTCATTTTCCATAAGGAGAATGTTGTAAATGGTTCTGCAGGACACCAAGCATTTGAACATCATGTATTGGTGATATCAAACTCCAAAGGCATAAAACTCGGGATAGCAATGCATACTATTTTTGGTTTACGAGAATCAAAAACAATAAGTCCTCAAAAATTGAAAAATGGGATGTAGAAAAGAGAGTGTTAAACTGAAAATGAATTTCGATTCTTCCAGTAACTAGTTGTGTAAACAGAAACAATTATCTGCAGTTCTTTAAGCCTCACTTCCCTCCTCTATGATAGAAAATTAACCAAAATGTCCTCAAAGTTTCCTTTACTTTAATATTTGATACTACATGTGGCCTTAATTTAGAAAACCTGATGCATCCTTCCATGCCAGACATTCAGACGAAGCTTCCATGGGTTGACATATCTCTAATATTTATCCCAAAACAACAGAAAGTGCAAGTTGTACATTATAGTCGTGAATAAATATTCAGTTGCCTTCTGATATAGCTCTATCTTGGATATACATTCTCAGGCCCAGCAGGATACTGAAGCCACGGGTAAGGGAGCAGAATAGAAATCACTGGGGCCGGGCGCAGTGGCTCACGCCTGTAATCCCAGCACTTGGGAGGGCCGAGGTGGGCGGATCACCTGAGATCAGGAGTCCGAGACCAGCCTGGCCAACGTGGAAAAACCATGTCTCTACTAAAACTACAAAAATTACCTGGCGTGATGGCAGGCACCTGTAATCCCAGCTACTCAAAAACTCAAAAATTGAAAAATGGGATGAGCCGCAGGCCGAGGCAGGAGAATGACGTGAACCCGGGAAGCGGAGGCTGCAGTGAGCTGAGATCGCGCCACTGCACTGCAGCCTGTGAGACGGAGTGAGACTCTGTTTTTTTAAAAAAAAAAAAAAAAAAAAGGAAAGAAAGAAAAAGAAAAAGAAAAGAAAAGAAATCATTGCCCCCTGCACTTTAAAAGGGTAGTGAAGAACTACTAGTCTCTCTAAAATTAGATAAGAAAACATGTGATAGAAAAAGCTTCCTGTCTTGTGGCTCTGGGAAACACAGAGAAACTATAGTCCCCGGGGAAACATAGGAGAAAGCAACAAGAATATTAAACCACTTCCGAATCGTTTGAATGTCAATATTAATTTCAGAGACATTACCCAAAGAATAATTTTTATTCATAGGGGAAGCAGCAAGAGGAAGCTATAAATATTAATTAAAATTTTAAAACCACCATCTAAAAATGCAGAACTACCTAGACATTTGGAAACCTTCAAAATAAAAGGGGTGTTTTTATACACTTAAGTATTTTAAAACATACTCGGAAAGATGACTAAACAAACTCTAAAATAAAAGCCTGCATGTTCCTGAATAGAAATGTAAGTGTCATTTCAATTTAACTTAATATTAAGTATGGATTTCAATTATATTTTCTTTCCTTTGTCTATTCATTCAGCAAACATTTATTCAGCACCTTCTACTTACTAGGCACTGTGCTAAATACTAAGGAGTTAAAGAGTAAGCCACAACGATTTAATGCATCTGTAAGTGTGTAACACTCTGCATAGGAGTGTTCCAACACCTGCCCACCTATTAGGTTTCATCAAACCATATTGATATGGTTTGGCTCTGTGTCCCCACCCAAATCTCTTCTCGAATTGTAATCCCCACATGTCAAGTGAGGGACCTGGTGGGAGGTGATTGGATCATGGAGATGGTTTCCCTGTGCTGTTCTCATGATAGTGAAGGAGTTCTCACAAGATCTAATGGTTTAAAAGTGGCAATTCCTCTGCTCTCTTTCTCTCACCTGCCACCATGTAAGATATGCCTTGCTTCCCCTTTGCCTTCCACCATGATTGTAAGTTTCCTGAGACCTCCTCAGCCGTTTGGACCTGTGAGTCAATTGAATCTCTTTTTTTAAATAAATTACTCAGTCTCAGGTAGTATCTTTATAGCAGTGTGAGAGTGGACTAATACACATATATAGCCTCTTTCACACATAAACTATGATCTAGAGCACATTAAACTACTTGAAGTTCCCAGAACTTACGCTCAACCCATGCTTCCTTGATTTCCCTTATTCATCTCTATGTATTTGTTTTGCTTTAGTTTTAATAACATTAAAACTAAATTTGTGTCTCTAAAATACACAAATAATTTGGAATTTTCAGATTCAATTCCAACATGTAAGACTTTGAAAGTCAATACTCCTATCCTTAAAACAAGAAAAAGCTGAATAAACTGAAAGTCAATGGCTTTTCTTAGACCAAGCAGAGACATGAGGTCACAGGGCAAATGAACACGTGAAAATCTAGAGAGAAATCTAACAAAATACGTACAAAATGTACATGAGAAAAACTACAACACTCTGATAAAAGAAATTTAAAAACTAAATAATAGGAGAGATATTTCAAGTTTATGCATAAGATGCTTCAATATTATCAAGGTGTCAGTTCTTCCCAACTTGATCTATAGATCCAATGCAATATCAATAAAAATCTCAGAATGTTATTTTGTGAATAGCAACAAACTGATTCTAAAGTTTATATGAAGAGGCAAAACATGTAGAACAAGCAACACAATATTGAAGGAGAAGAATAAAGTTGGAGGACAAACTCCACTAGACTTCAAGACTTATAAAGCTATAGTAATCAAGACACTGTGTTATTGACAACAGGCTAGACACATAGGTCAGTTAAACAGAATAGAGAGCTCAGAAATAAATCAACAGAAATATAGTCAACTGATCTTTGACAAAGAATCAAAGGCAATACAATGAAATAAAGATAGCCTTTTCAACAAATGGTGCTAGAACTGGTCATCCACCTGCAAAAATAAAAATAAAAAAAAAATCTAGACACAGACCTTACACCTCACAGAATGAATCAGATAGTTGGAGATTTCAACACTAGTCTGTCATTGATTAATAGATCAAGAAAACAGAAAATCATAAGAATATTGTGAACCTGTACAGCACAATCAATCAACTGGTTCTGGTTGGCATTTATACCATATGCCATTGAACAACAGCAGAATACACATTCTTCTCAAGCTCACATGGAATGTTCTCCATGATAGACTACATCATAGACCTGAAAATACACCTTAACAAACTGAAAAGAATAGAAATCATACAATGTATGTCTTCAGACTACAATGGAATTAAACTAGTAATCAATGTGATAAAGATAGCTGAGGCCAGGTGCAGTGGCTCACATCTGTAATCTCAAAACTTTGAGAGGCCGAGGTGGGAGAATCACTTGAGTCCAGTACTTCTAGATCAGCCTGGGCAACATAGGGAGCCTCCATCTCTATGGACAATAAAAAATTAGCCAGGCATGGTGGAGCGCCTGTGGTCCCACTTTCTTGGGAGACTGAACTGGGAAGACTGCTTGAGCCCAGGAGGTTGAGACTGCAGCAAGTTATGATTGTGCCACTGCACTTCAGCCTGGGTGAGAGAGCAAGACCTTGTCTCAAAAAAAAAAAAAAAAAAAAAGGGGGAAAATGCCAAATATTTGAAAATTAAAAGAAGACATCTTTAAATGACACGTGGCTTGAAGGAGAAATCACAGAACAAATGAAATGTTTTAATATAGTAATACATTTAAACGGAAATACAGCATATTAAATTTGGTGTCATACAGCAAAAACAATGCTTAGAGGGAAATGTAAGGCATTAAATACATATATTAGAAAAGAAGAAATATTTGAATTAATAACCTAAGTTTCCACCTTAGAAAAGTAGAGAAATAATCAAAACTTAATCCTAAAGAACCAGATGAAAAGAAATAAGAAAGATTATAGCATAAATCAATGAAATTAAAATTAAGAAATCAATACAGAAAAATCAATGAAACTAAAAGCTCATTCTTTAAAAAGGTCAGTAATGGATCAAACCGTAGCCAAGATAGCAAAAAAAGAGAATTGATACGACACAAATTGCCAACATCAGATGAAGGGGGGGTTATCATTGCCAATCTCATGGAAATTAAAAGGATAATAAAGTAATACTGAGAACAAATTTATACCCACAAATTTGATGACTTACATGAAATAAACCAATTCCTTAAAAGACCAAAACTTACGCAAGGATAAATGAACAATCTGAACAGATCTATATCTATTTTAAAAAAGAAATCAGTTATTATATAACTTCCAAAAAAAAAAAAAAAAAAGATTGCAGCCTAGAGGCTTTTACTAGTAAAAGCCTATGGGAGGCTGAGAAAGGCGGATCACTTAAGGTCAGGAATTTGAGACCAGCCTGGCCAACACGGCGAAACCCCGTCTCTACCAAAATATACAAAAATTAGCCAGGTGTAGTGGTGAGTGCCTGTATTCCCAGCGACTCAGGAGACTGAAGCAGGAGAATCACTTGAACCCAGGAGGTGGAGGCTGCAGTGAGCTGAGATTGCACCACTGCACTCCAGCCTGGGTGACAGAGAGAGACTGTCTCAAAAAAAAAAAAAAAAAAATCACATATTGATAAAAGTTTGGAACACTTGGATGAAAGTAAATATTCTCATGATTTTCAGAGGCTAAAAATACAGATGTCCAAAAACGAAATAAGAATTAGAAAGGCTTTGAACTTCTTAACAGCAGCACTGGAAGGTAGAGCAATGGAGAAATACCTTCAACATTTTAATAGAAAATGACTTTCTTCCTCAAATTCAAGAATTGGCCAAAATATTATTTGAAGGGGAAAGTAGAAAAAAAGACATTTCAGCCACTCAAGTCCTCAGAACAATTTCCAGAAACCTACTAAAGATGTGTTCTTGCAAAATAGAGCAAGCCAGGATAAAAGAAAATGTAAGCCAGGTGCAGTGGGTGCACACCTATAACCCCAGCTACTTAGGAGGCTGAGGTAGAAGGATTGCACAAGCCCAGGAGTTCCAGACCAGCCTGGTCAACACAACAAG